TCTCTCTCTCTCACTCTGTCCCTCTCTGGTCAAATTAAAAATAAATAAATAAAGTTAAATAAAATAATTCTTAGGGCTGGCAGATGTCATGGTAGTTAAGGGCGCTGGACTCCCACATGGCTGACCCCAGTTCAAGTTCCGGACCTAGAGACTTGCTTTCTCACTTTCTCTCTCTCTCTTTCTCACTTTCTCTCTCTCTTGCTCTGTCCTCTGGTCAAATTAAAAGAAAGAAATTTTTAAAGTTAAATAAAGTAAAAAAAAATATTTAAAGAAATGAATGATAAGGCAGTAAAATAATGTTCAATACATTCTATTATAACTTTCTCAGGTTACATTTTTTTCACAAAAGAATTATTTAATTAATTAATTATTATTATTAGATTTGACCAGTGAGAGAAGGAAAGTGCCAGGTCCAGGGCCAGAACTGACGTCAGTCATGTGGAGTTCTCACCTTAACCACACGCTGCCTGCCAGCCCCAGGTTATAATATTTCTAAGTCATTTGAGAAAGAAAGCTGAAAGCTTAGAAAAACGGCAAAGTAAATGTCACATGGCTTGTCTTAATTCACTAAGGTAAAAGTAAAAAATGTCAACATAATTGAATAAATTTTCCTTCCTTGTAAATGACAAAATATCAGGACAAAGATTCTTTTAGAGAGATTTTTGCTATAGGGAATGTGTGCTCACCAGAGAGACAGAAAGACAGAAAGTGAGAAATCACCCCTTGGGGAGGTTGGCCTCGCCACAATCCCTTCTCCTCCATTCTCCTGTCGGGATTTTGGGCACCCATATACATGCACCCAGCGTGAATTGCAAGCCTCCAGGTCTGGGCCTCAAACTGTAGTCAGCCATGTGGGAGTCTAGCCATGTAACCATTATGCCACCTGCTGATCCCGCCAGGATTTTTTTAATCCAAAGGCTCAATTCACAAGGCATCATGAGACAGAAACACTTGATCATTACATTCAGTTCCCAATACTCACACTAGAGTTGGCGAAAATTGAATTTGAATTGGCTGCAGAATATCCTGCATTAGTCAAGTCATCACTGCTCTGCAAAGGTACAAATGCAATATAGTGGTTACTTTAACTGTAAACAGGAAACAAAACATGTCTGCAATGTTCTCACTGTTACTTACAGATTTATTACTAGGTCCGTGGAGAAAATAGTTCAGTGCTTGTGGGTCTCTAGAAAAGAAAACCAAAAAGAGGGAAAAATAACGTATTAGTAAAAATCCTCTCCCTGTTCTAGAACAATTTTACTAATATATTTTTGTTTTGTTTTGATGTTTCATTTTCTACTATCACTCATTTCTGTCTCCTGGGGATTTGTTGGAAAATAAACTTAATAGGGGCCAGCAGGTGACATGGTGGTTGGAGCCCTGGACTCCCACAGGGCCGACCATAGCTCAAGTCCCAGACCTGGTGGCTTGCTTTCTTTCTCTCTCTCTGAGTGCATGTGACTTACAGCGAAATAAAATAATAACAATAAATTAAATAATTCTTTTTTAAGAAAAGAAAAAGAAACTTAATAAAAAGTAACTGAATCAAGGCCCCTGTATTAATTCACATCTCTTGGTCTGCCTACTTTATGAGGCTTATTTAATTTTCATTTTAAAAACATACAAGATTTTTACATGCTTACTAGGCGGTTTTGGTTCAGCAAAACTCACACATTTCATATACCCTGGTTCTGAAACGAGCGTCTTACCCAATCAGATCAAGGAGACACGAGTCGTCATCATCATCCATGACAACTGTAAGGGAAGGAAGGGGAAAGCAGGTTTCAGGTCACAGGAAAGCCAGCAGCCTCGACACGGCAGACATGCCCTCCACCTCTCTGGAAAAGTGACTGCGTAAGCCATGTGTTTTCCCTCTAAGTACTCAGTAATACTGTGATTTCTAAGATGCTGCAGTCGTGTAAGAGAGAAAGTATTTCACTTAAATCGTTCTTTATTGAAAACAAATCTTTGACTTACAAGTCAAAAACAATGTTAGACACATCAGAGAGAGCTGGCAGCCATCTCTCTCACAGGCAGAGCCCCCCAGGGGGCTGTAAACCGAGAACAGCAACTTCCGTAAAGCGTGCAACAAGCCAAAGGAGACAGACATGTCTGAGGAACGATCTCGCAGACACAGTGGTCTTTTGATTTTGTGACTGGGTATTTCTACACAGGGTGAGCAATCTAAATTTCTCGCCACATGTTGGCTCTCTTTTGACGACAGTCTAGTGGGTTCTTCCTGTATTTGGAGACAGAAGAAGAGGTTCAAGCCCCGGGCAGTGCTGCTACAGGCTCCGGCCAGCAGGCCCCGGGTTCTTCTCTCGGCAGCAGCTCTGCCACCCTTTCATTCCAAGCAATTTATATCCTGACACTAGAACCTTTCAAGTAGAAAATCTCAACCCAAAGTTCACCCCAGTTCTCGGCCCTGAGCTCCCCCCTCTCCCCAGCCAGCGCCCGTGTCTGGCTGAAACAGTAACATCTGTACAAATTCCAAAAGCGCTTCTTCCCCCAAGATCCGGCAAACTCACACCAGTGATCCGACACCTGGCAACACGGCCTCACGCCCCTTTCCAGCCATGCGTGGAATAAGTTACATCACGGAATGCCAGGGCCCAGAGTTCCGGAGCCGTTGGAAAGGGCAGTTGTGAACGGCAGTTGGACGGAGGAATGAAATCCTGAAGAGGTGCCCAGAGGAGGGCCACGCCCGAAGACGCCAGAAGGGATAGTCTCCGCTGAGTTCTTTCTCGGGGAAAACTGCTCACTCCTCTCCAGTCCCCTCAAACGTCCCATCCTCAGTCACAGCCAAACAGTCCTCACGTGCACTCCTGCCACGTGAAGGGACCTGCTTCCCTCGGGGAGTCTGGAAGGGGTAAGTAGCCCCGATGTGGGAGCTTCCCGTGGGTCAGATGACCCTGTCTTTGCTGAACCACCCGGGCGATCACGGTCCACGTGCGTGGAACCCGGTGGAGAGGAGAGATGACGGTGAGAAAAGGAGAGAGTGGGACGAGCCCACCCAAAGGGAGCACCGAAGGCCCTAAACTGACCAGGGCCGCCGGCTGAGTGGACCCGCTTCTGAGGACAGAGGAGTCACTCAAGGGCACAGGGCCATGACCGGACTGGCACAACGGGCCTTTTGAGTAAAAATGAGATAGGAAGGAAAAACGGCTACACTGTCACCAACGGAAATCTGTGTGAAGGTTTCTCCCTTAAATTCCGGGGAGATTTAATATGGCAGACCCGCACCCCCACGGCTCATTATGGCATGCCCTTGGTGTCAGACATCGCGGTCCCACGACATGGATTAGTTATGAGGTATCATTAACCCTGTAAAGTGGATACGACGTCTTTACTTGAAGGTGACACAGTTCCGTTGTATGCTTTGTCATTTATTTTTAAAGTATTTCTGAAACAAAATAATGACTAAACTGTAAGTGAAAAATAGTGTACGCCAAAGAAACACTTCTTCCTGACCCTCCCAGCGTCCCTCTACACCCTTACCCAGTCCTCCACTGGATGTGAGGCCCTAAACGTTAACAATCAAACTGAGCAAGAACATCAACATCAGTCCCTCCATGGAGGGGACTGTCACTGGGACTTTCAAGCACTGAGAACACTTTTGCTATCCCAGCGTTCAAGTGATAAGTTGCTCGTTGAATAGCCCAAATAAAGGTATAATTTTGGGCCACCTGGTGGCACGGTGGTTAAGGTGGCTGGATTTCACATGGCCAACTGTGTGGTTTGAGTCCTAGACTTGGAGACAGAAAACACTGGGAGTGTATCTATGTGTGCCCAAAGTCCTGAGAAGAGAAGGGATCGTGGAGTGGCCATCCCCCTCGGGGGATGATTTTCTCACTTTCTCTCTCTTTGGTGAACACATGTGCCCTACAGCAAAACTAACTTATAATTTCATATCAGATGAAATTAGCAGTCCTCTTCTATGAAACGTAACAGGCTGGTCAAACACTTGATTTTAAAAAAAGGCTTCTTGGGAACCAGCAGTTAGTGTAATGGCTATGTTGCTGGACTCCCACGTAGTCGACCGCGGTTCGCGTCCCGGACCCGGTGGCTTAAAACTCACGCCGGGCGCGTGTGCGTGCGTGCCCAAGATCCCAAGAGGAGAATGGAGGAGAAGGGATTGCGGCGTGACCATCCTCCCTGGGGGGTGATTTCTCGCTTTCTGTCTCTATGTCTCTCTCTGTCTGTCTGGCGAGCGCACGCGCCCTATAGTGAAAAATCTCTCCAAAAAAAAAAAAAAAAAAGGCTTCTTGGGGGCCAGCAGGTGGCATGGTGGTTAAGGCACAGGATCCACCATAGTCAACCCCATGGTTCAAGTGTCAGACCTGGAGGCTTGAAAATCACACGGGGCATAAGTGCATGTGTGCCCAAAATCCCAAGAGGAGAATGGAGAAGGAGGGACTATGGCATGGCCATTCCCCAAGGGGGTGATTCTTCACTTCTCACTTGTCCTCCCTCTGTCTCTGTTTCTCCCCGGTGACCACACATGCCCTATAGCAAAAACTGAAGAAGGCTCCTTGGGGAGATCCACCCGTCAGCAGAATCAGGAGCCCCACCGGATGGGCAGCAGCCTCTAGCCTCCAGTAGGTGGGACTCCATGAGGCTTTTACAGTCAGGGGAACCCTGAGAGTTTTGCACTCGTTCTCACTCTTTTTTTCTGAATTTAAGCAGTTTCGAATTAAATAGGTGACCCTATCCCTGCATCCTCAGCTATAAACAGTGTCAAATGTAGTCTAATCCAGGAGTTCCCTTCCTAGGATGACATAAAGCCCATCCAAGTAAACTTACAAAAGTAAAACTAAAAACTGACTTAAGATTCAGGAACAACAGATGGTGTAGTGGCTATGTCACTGAACTCCCATGTAGTTGACCGCGTTTCGAGTCCCGGACCCAGTGGCTTAAACTCATGCCGGGCACATGTGCGTGCGTTCCCAAGATCTTGAGAGGAGAATGGAGGAGAAGGGATTGCGGCGTGGCCATCCCCCTGGGGAGTGATTTCTCACTTTCGGTGTCTGTCTTTATCCGTCTTTCCAGTGAGCACACACAACCTATAGCAAAAACTTCTAAAAAAAAAAACCCAGAATAATAACAACAACAACAAAACAACAAAAACAAACAAAAAAACCCCAACAACAACAGAAAACTAAGATTCTAAAATAAAAAGGGAATTTAAGGATCAGAAATTATGACTCAAAAGTTCAGTTTTCTTTGGAAATAGTCTCCCTTTCCTTCCGGACTCCTGTTGAGGTTCTTTTCCCATTCCAGTAAGAAGCCTGGGATGAGATGGTCCTCTGGCACCAGGAGAATTTTATGAAGTGGTGTGAATGGAATCCCTCCTCAGAGGGGAAATCCTGACACCAGTGCTTAGAAACTATTTCAGGTAGAAAAATAGAGAAGTAAGACATTTGTGGGACACAGAAATGGTTTATTACCTGCTGATGATAACATGTATAGTGTTCTCGACTGGACTGGTCTGAGGAGTATTTCATGTTGGGTAAATTCTCTCTAGAAGCTAAATGATGTATGGCGATTGGATGTATAAAATAAATAAAAATTTAAGAAGAAACTATTTTGAGGTCTAAGAAGCAGGATGACTTCCCCTCATAAACAGTAGCTCTGGACAGTAAGGTCTGTCATGGAGAGTCAGAGGCTGTAGCTCTTACAGCGTTCTACTGGGTTGCTGGAAAAGTCATGACATATTTCATGTAGAAATGCAGCATGACTTTCCGACAGCCCAGTAATGGCCATGCCACACGTTCACAAGTCACTCCCCTGGACACCTGACCACCACTCCTAAGAAATTAAAGCCAGGGTTGGTCCAGCAGGTGGTGTAGTTGTTAAGGTGGCCGGATCTCATTATGGCCAACTTTGTGGTTAGAGTCCTGGGTGGGGCGGCCTGAAAAACCACACCGGTGTACGTGCATGTGTGCCCCAAACCCCTAAAAGGAGAAATGAAGAGGGGATTGTGGAATAACTATCTCTCATGGGGGAGGGGGGTATTTTCTCACTTTCCTTCTCTCTGTCTCTGTCTCTCTCTCTGTCTCTCTGACCAGTGCATATGCCTTCTAGAAAGTTAAAGAAAAGTTCATGGAATATGGGTAATGTGAAAAAGTTATGCACAGATTGCAACTTTTTTTTGCACCAAAAATAAGCTCATAGTTTCATTCCATTTTTTCATAAATCTCTTGAAGTCCCCTTGTATGTGTGTGTTTATTAATGCACAGGCCCTGCAATGAAACGCAAATACCCAGTAACACTAGTTGCTTCTGGGAAGGAAACTGGGTGGTTGGGGACAGAGGAAGGTATACTCTTCAGTTATGTACATTTTGTACCCTTTAAATTTTGTGCCACACGCATGTAAGATTTACTTAATAAAAAGAAATAGTCAATAAAACAAGGAGAAAGAGGAAGGGTGACTCTTAAACGTAAGAACCTCAAGTCAAGCTCTCTCTTATTAGGCATACCAGATACCAATTACTTACAGAATGTTAAAGCGGCCTAGTGGCCTTAACAATAATCTACATAGTGACCAGCAGATGCCATAATGGTTATGTCATTGGACTCTCATGTAGTCGAACACAGTTTGAGTCCTGGACCTGGTGGCTTAAGACTCATGCTGAGCGTGTGAGCGTGCATGCCCAAGATGCCGAGAGGAGAATGGAGGAGAAGGGATTGCAGCATGGCCATCCCCCCTGGGGGTGGTTTCTCGCTTTCTGTCTATCTATGTCTCTCCGGCGAGCATACGTGTCCTGCAGCAAAAATGTCTCTTAAAAAAAAAAAAAAAAAGAATCTACATCAAATGTCTTAAAAGAAATATCCATCCAGGCTGGCCAGTGGTGGTTAAGGTGGCTGGATCCCACATGGCCAACTGCGCGGGGTTCAAGTCTCAGACCTGATGTCTTGAAAAACACAATAGGCGAATGTGCATGCCCCAAATCCCAAGAGGAGAATGGAGAATGGATTGCAGCGTAGCCTTCTCCCCAGGGGGAGATTTTTTTCTTTCCCTCTTTCTCTTGCTCTCTTTCTTTGGTGAGCATATGTTTCCTATAGCAAAACTTAAAAAAAAAAAAAAGTGAAAAAGAAATCCCCCCGGGCCAGCCTGTAGTGCAGTGGTTACGCACTGTGAGTTGGGAGCCAGATCCACAGAGCCAACTGTGGTTCGGATCCCAGGCCGGGATGGAAAACATGCTGGGTGTGCCCAGAGCCCTGACAGGGAGGACACATGGAGAACTGTGGTTCAGATCCCAGACCGGAATGGAAACATGCTGGGTGTGCCCAGAGCCCTGACAGGGAGGACACATGGAGAACTGTGGCATGACTGGACCCTGACTGGACAGGGGTGGGGACGCGGAGGATGTCTCTCTAGCAAGCGCGCGTGCTCTCTGGCCATTTCTTAAAAAGGAAAAATACCCTAAAAACAGGTTCATTTTTATTAAGATCACAGACTTCAAAGACCTCTAAGGGAGAGAATGAAGGAAGATGATGGAAATGATCTTTTTTTTTTTTTTTTCACACAGGAGAAGATCTAAGCTCTCATAACACAAACTGTACTGCTTTCAAAAACAGATATTTCAGGAACGCTAGCTGAGCAAATCACTCCTGCTTATTTAAGATATTCTGAGCTAGTGGAAGTGGAGGAAAACGAAACTTGACCTTTGAGAATCATGAAACATGATTTCAAATACTTCACAAACTAAAATATCACATGTGATCACTATTACAAATGGCTTGGCTTCTTTTTTTTTTTTAAAGAATGATTCTTATTTAACTTTATTTATTTACTTACTTTATATTACTATAAAGTAATACTTTATACTACTTCATTTTATATTTATTTATATTTGACCAGAGAGGGACAGAGTGAGAGAGAGAGTGAGAAAGCAAGCTACCAGGTCCAGGACTTGAACAGTAGTCGCACATGTGGGAGTGCAGCGCCCTTAACCACCATGTCACCTGCTGGTCCCAATGGCTTTACTTCTTGCTCCTCTGTTCTTTTTCTTCTTCCTTTTTTTTTTTTTTTAAAGGATTATTTATTTATTTTAGGTTTTGCCATAGGGTGCATGTGCTTGTTGGAGAGAGACAGAGAGGTAAAGGGACAGTGAGAAATCACTTCTAGGGAGATGACTCTGCCGCAGCCCCCTCTCCTCCATCCTCTATTTGGATTTTTTTTTTTTTTTTGAGAGATTTTGGCTATACGGCACAAGTGCTTGCCAGAGAGATAGAGAGACAAAAAGTGAGAAATCACCCCAGGGGGGATGGCCATGTTGCAATCCCTACTCCTTCACTCTCCTCTTGGGATCTTGGGCACACATGCACACGCACCCAACGTGAGGTTTAAGTCACCAGGTCCGGACTCAAACCGCAGTGGACAACGCAATGTAACCATTACACCACCTGCTAGTCCCCTCCCTTTGGAATTCTGGGCATGCACACACGTGTGCCTGCCATGATTTTCTATCTGCTGGGTCTGGGACTCAGTCAGTCATGTGGGAATCCAGCACACTAGCCACCATGTCACCTACTGGCCCTCTTTTTATTTTTCCAAAAACACAGCCTAGTAAAGATGATGACCGAATG